ATATATGAACACATCGCTTTACCGAGGAGACTTTGATGGGCCTAGCGGGTAGTGTGGAGGGTATAAAAGGCGTCTTTCGGGCTCTCTTCTCTTGTCTTTGTTAACATCCAAAACTTCCTCTTTTCTTCGAAAAAAGGAAGGGACGCTCTCATGGCTCTGAGATCTTTCTCTGCTCTGCTGCGTCCTCTCTCAAAAGATCGACTGCCGCCTTCAGTGGTTCTGCCCGCTGTTACCATCCGCCTCATACTTCAAAATCAAAAGATATTCCCACATTTTACATGGGACACGGCATAGCAGCGTTTGGGGAAGAGTCGCACGAATACCTTGCCCCTTCACTCATGCAACTTTGAAGACTCGCCACCGCGCATGGCATAAAAGGCACCTCTCGACGGCGTCTTCCCTCTTCTCTCCATACACCAAGTTCTCTCCGCCTCTTTCCAAAAAGTCAGATAAGAGAAGTGATGACTCCAAAAAAGCAACTACTTATTGACATGTCCTCCACAAAACTCCCAAACATATCTGCGATGGCTCCGCCTGTCGGTACCATCCTGCTCATACTTCACCATCAAAAGCTCCTTCTGTTATCTACATAGTATACGCTATCCGAATGTTTGAGTTGAGATTTGCTGAAATGCGCTGGCCATCTGGCCATGCAAATTCGGAAGCTCGTGACTGTGGATGGCTATATAAGCCGTCTCTGGTCTCGATCTTTCTTCTCTTCTCACATACAAAATCTTTGTTCTTGAATACCAAAAAGAAAGACGAATGGATTATGTTCCCGAAATTTTATGACAAGGGTGCGATATCTCGTCCTGGAAAGATGACGAGTTTTTGCGCATGGCGCTGCCTCTCCGTGCGGCTCAGCTATCGATCTCGATGATATGTTTGTGGCTATGATATGAAACAACAGTCTTTCATACTCCAAAAGCCTCCATCCCAGCTTCCATGTGCTGTGCAGCACACATCATACCTAGGTAATATTACATCAAGCACATCGCCCGTCACCAGTACAAATATACTCTACACTTCCGTTTGCCGCACGAGTTCTCTCGCACGAGAAGGACGTCGTGTAACATAGTAAATCTCACAAGTTCGGCAGAGCCATGAAGATCTCGTGGTAAATTTTGGATAGTACTTTGAACAACACTGATGAGGTTGAGAGGAAGAGTGAAGTGCTGCAAAACCCTTTTGTACCGACGCCGAAGTCGCCCACACGAATGTTGAATTCGCTGCTTTTAGTTTAGAATCTCAAAACACAGTCTGGACCATGACCTGTTCGTATGCAGATTTTAGAGGCCGCATCGTTCTGTTCGGCGGCGTTTCACCATCATGCGTGATGTTGTTGCGACTCTTTAGTGCGGTGGACTGACCGAGGCTTTTGGCAAAACGCGCCGAGTGCGGGAAAGCAGCCATGCGATCTTGGGGATGATATTTTTGGAGAAGAACAGGAACAACCCATCATAATCGGCCACGGTGGTTTTGGAAACTCGGACTTGAGCGAGAGGATAATGAAGTAGAAGAGGAAGGAAGGACTGGGGGGTATTTATGCGTCGCCGGACGACGTCATTCCATGGCTGTGATAGTTCCAGTGAACGTGCCGAGAGACATGCCGAGTCCCTGAACGTTTTTGAATTTGAGCAAGTTGCAGACGACAGAAGTCATGTCAAGCTTGTTCATTCTTTTGGAAAGACTATGCATTCGCATATTTCAGCTGTTTCAAGGTTGTGAACAGACGAGAGAGAGATGAATGCTCCGACGCTCACGGCGAGAAGGACGGAAGTAGAAGAAGAGGTTCAGGAACGAACAGCCATGCAGAGGCTGTAACAACTCTTGGAAATCTGCTGGCAGGGAACAAACATGTCGAGGTCAAATTGTTGTTTGGATTTTATAAATATTGATAAGACTTTTAAGATAATAGATGACTTGATGCTGTTATGGTGCGCCACATGCTTGGCTGATGTCGTTGTTTGCTCAGCCACCAGCACAGCACATATGCCAACATTTTGGTCTTTTTGATGAGTAAGACCGCCGCAAAAAACAGGAAACACATGGAGCGTCGCTTCTCGTGTTTCGCTATCCATGATTTAGTGCAAAATCGGCTTTGATGATCGGAGGTTTTGAGTAGATGACGAAAAGAAGTATTGATCCTGATGAAGTTCTTTCGTAGACGAAAATAGAGCGGAAACCTGCATACGCTGTCATCGTAGGATAGTTTTGGAGAGAAGCACAGGAAGTCCATGGGCGCTTCCCGACGCGTTTTTGTATCCTTGTGCAAAGGAGTGGATGATGGAGGGAAAGTAGCAGGGTGACTAGGCGAGCTTTTATATCTGGCCCGGTGCTTTATTACGCTAGTTTGGATGGAGACGCCGAGAGATATACACCGGTAGAGTGTGGCTTTTGGAATGCGCAGATTTCTGTCGTGCCGAAAGACATTGCGGTTGCAACTACCACTTTTCGAAAAGCCCAGGCACTCGCAGGTATGTGCTTTCATGATGTTCTATACACTTGGAAGGAAGATGAATCTGTCTTCGCTCGCACTGAGAGAGGGTAACGTAACGTTTGGTGGAGCCAAGGCGGTTGGGTCATTCCATCAGCGAAGCAGTTTTGGAAAACTTCGATCCTGAACTCACCATATGAAGATATAGCCCACTTTTGAATCAGTAAAGAATCGAATTGGAATGGAAACCATGGCTCTTGCTTTCCGTTGTTTTCAGGACCACCGACGTGGCGCATGGGGCGCAAGCGAAGACATTTTGAAAATGATGAAGTCGCAGGAATCTTTCTTGTCCATAGGATAGATGAAGTCGGTTTTGGAAAAATGGTGGAATGGAGTAGATGATAGAAGGAAGACTCGGACCACATCCGCTCTACTTATATACCCCTCTCCCCTCTAGATCGGCGTACCCGCAGTACCCTTCTCCATCTCCTCACAAAGCTTACCCAACTCCTCAATCACAACCTGATGGTCATCCCACTGCTTCAGCCCACTCACTACGACCACCGCAACCGGCCCATCACAGTTCTTGATGTAAATCGGCACGCCACCACCATGAATTGCATAATCTTTCGCCGTCTCACCAAGACCCATCTTAGTCTTGAACTTCTCCTCGTCGCCCTCAAATTGGTTCTGCAGACGCCACGTGCTCGCATTGAAGCGGATGACGGCTGCGCGTTTGCGGCTGACCCAGAAGTCGTTGTCTAGGGCTGTGCCAGAGTGTGTTACCTGCTTCATATCAGCACAGCAATTACACGCGTTGATCATCATGGTACTCACGGCATGGAAAAGCACATGACCTGGCGTGCTGATGGTAGAAATATCTACAACAGCCGGTCGCTCAAAGGTAAGCAGGCGTGTGCGGAGGTTGTAGCCGAGCTTGAACGCGATGCCGGAATCCCAGTGTGGCAGCAGAGCGGCCTTTTCTTGCTTCTTGATGGCTTCGACATCGCGGGGTGCTTCTGAGAGGCCCACGTGCTGCGGGATCTGGATGTCGTCTGTCGCCATCTTGAAAGTTGTTCGTTGCGGTGGTTAAAGTGGTGTAGATAGACGATCAATGTATGTGGTAGCAGGCTTCAAGAAATCGCTGTTCTGCCCGCGAGGTAGTGGCTGATGCAGAAGGGTATATCTCCGATAACATGTTGAGATGCCATGCCGAATTCTAGATCGCCGATGTCATCCGTTGGCAGAGCTTTTCATAAATGTGGCTCTGCCGGCAGGCGGAGGCTCCGCATTGTTGCGCTAATTCCCCGCCATCATCGATCTGCCGCAGAGCCGCGTCGGGTCGCGCTCCCACTCTCTCGACACGCTCCGCCACCGACGCGTTTTCGACGCGTTGTCATCGCATTCATCTCTGTCGCAGCGACCTTAGCATGTCTTTGAAAGATCACGGAGTGATGTGACGCGAGAAGTACACGTGCTCACTTGCTTCAGAGGGCGCGATGCCGGCCCTGCCTTCCTTACGGCAACCTCAATCGGGCTCACGACAGCCTTCAGCCTATATTATCAGCGTGGAGCCATTCATCGAGAGACCTAACAACTCGCGACATATGTGCGACGCGTGTAATAGGCTGTGACTACGCGGCACGAAGTACGAGAAAGAGAAGGAGAGAACATTGCGATTTCTAAGACTATCGCAAACACTCACGTAATCATAACAGCCCTCATACATGGAGTTGAAACAACACCCAGGTTCCAACATGTTCTGCCTTCGCGAGACGCTGATACTATTCATGTGCGTTACCCGACATGTGTCGCTGACATCAGCGAACGCAAATACCTGATACTGGACGGCGAGGCGAACATACGCCTAAGCGACATCGCTATGCAGATCGTTTGTCCATCTCATCGAATTCACATGATCTGGACAATATGGCTTCGAGATGCGGGACCTCTCTTTAACCCGTTGAGCATGGCTCACGTTGATCGAGACGGAACTTGTTCAACACAAAATTATCGTTCAGTCGTCCTATGCAGCTCCCATACGAACTTCCGTGCCGTAGAACCGGTACGTTGTTCTGATCCAAAGATAAAGTACATCGAATGTGCCTTACGCCGCTCGGCCTCAGAACAGGCTGGCAATTTCAGACCTGAGGGAGGCGTCAGGCATCCGAACAATACTGTTTCCTCGTCGGCATGGAGTCATTCCGTCTGTCATTGTGGGCTGGTCAAGGTGAGCGGTCTATTTCTGTTCATGTGTTCGAATATATGAAGAAGGCATGACGCTCCAAAAGCGAGACCATACACGCACATTCAGCAACGACTACACTCATACCATCTTGTACACATTACGATTTTCGCATCCACCAGAATACTGCTTCTTCGATTGGCTGTTCGCGGCAATTGAACACCTCTTTATCCGATTCGCTGTGAACTTCCCCGCTTCGCCAAGGCTTCCGACATGGTTCACATCTCGCGCGTTGTTCTGGGAGCAATCGCAGTCTTCCTCACACACATCACTATTGGAGCGGCTACAACTGGGCCTGCTGTCTCTCTCCATCACAGGATGGCTACCAATGACGAAGTGGGAACTGGATTAACCAGCCGGATCGATTCGGCCAACCCCGTGGTGAAATCATCATGCGCCATCTCAAACGACAAAGGAACCAAGGGAGATACATGCCAGCCGGATCCAAACGACGCCACTCCAGTAGAGACCGTGGAGACTACTAAGCGTGCCAAGAGAGACGAAGATACTTCTAGAGCCTATCTCCTCAGCACCATTCACGGCATCAACAGAGCCCAATACGAAGAGTGGGCCAAGAAGACGCTGCTTCGTGACAAGAAAGGCGAAATCATCGCTCGTGATGAACTCGAATGGGTCTCTTGTGGGTACCTGAATCTTACCGACGCCGAGGCTGCCACCATTCGCCAGGACCCCATTATCAGATTCATCGAGCCAAACACTGAAGATGATGGCGAGCTGCGCGTCATCCCCCCGCAAGCCGATCCTAGTTCACTACTTCCGAGTTCACTTCATGTCAAAGCTCAGGCACTCAACCAGAGGGATGATAGTGCAGCTCATCTCAAGTTGCTATCAGCCAGGAACCAGAGAAACGACCCCACAAAGCTACCGAATTATGTGTTCGAGCCTTCACTCGGAAAAGGTCAAACAATCTACGTCCTCGATAGCGGCTATCGTAAGACTCATCAGGAATTTGATGCTTCGGAGCGCGAGGTTCGGGATCATACCGTTCCCAACCTATTAACGTTCTTTGGATTGCAACTCACGGACGAGCAACAAGGACCAGAGGATATGTATGATATCACTGGTCACGGTACTATGGTTGCGAGCATCGCAGCCGGATACGTCAGTGGTGTGGCTTCGAAAGCAAATCTTGTTGTCGTGAAGATAAAGAACCGGGCCAAGAACCCTTTGAAGCCTGATGACGAAAAACTCCTTCCACGCGGCGTTATGGACATAGCATTAGAAGAGGCCTTCCAATGGACACTGGTGGATATCAAGTACGAAAAGCTCAAAAATCCCGATCCCAATGCAAGGTATATCATCAACCTGTCGTATGGTAAGTAATGCACTTCATCAACTTCAAGAGGATTGCGCTAAAAGACCGTCCAGGATGGATCAAGGAATCAAGCCCCGGTAAGATTGCAGTTCTAGAAAATGCACTTGCGGAATTCAAGAAAGAAGGTGTCACGCTTGTTATCGCCGCGGGTAATGAGGGAGAGCATCGCACTCTGGATTCCCTCATACCGCAAACCTATGGCACCGACGATAGGTTTGAAATGATCACTGTGGGTGGCGTGGACCAGACCGGGAAGTATTACGCACAGACAGTCCAAGGCAAGGGCCAAGGCGGCCAAGTCGATGTATACGCCGACGCGGTTCAAGTTATTGCTGCGAAGCATGATGACAAAGATTCTAAGGATGACTCCACTGCGCCAGTTGATGGAACTTCCGCTGCGGCACCAGCCATAGTAAGTATTTGGCGACATCTCCAGCCCAGCACAAGACACTAATGACGGAAGGCCGGGCTCGCTGCATATCTCTTCAGCATCCCGGGACTAAGCAGCAACTGGGGCGACGACACCGCACCGGCAGACATGAAGAAGTTCATGTTGAAGAACTCTGAAGTCAGGAACGACAATCCGTTCAAAGAAGGCGAGAGATATCCTACATCGCCAAAGCCCGACAAGGACAGCCTCAAAGTACCATACAATCTAGCGCAGAATACGTACGATATCTTCCTTGCCTCAAATCGTCACAAACTAACTCGGCCACAGACTATGCGATCTTCCTGATGCGGCGGTCAAGCGTTCTCTCTTCACAAAGCGAGCCCCAACACCCGAGAAGTCGGTTCCAGGCCGCCCGATCATCGAGGGTGGCGAGGTCGTCAATGAAGATCTGAAGAATGTTCGTCACCTTCAAATCCCTACGAAGACCATGAATTAACAATACCCCAGGAAGTTTGCAACGTCCACAATCGCCCCGCTCCCGAAACCGAGCCAGAACCCGAGCCAGCACCAGAAGCACCGGCACCACCCCCAAACACTGCGGCCTGCAAGGTTCTCAATCAAGGCCTTGGCGGCGGGAAATGGGAGGTCACTGGATCTGGTTGGGGTGACGAAGCTTCGCTCAAGGATAAGTTTGGTGACGATGAGTTCAGCTACACGGGTGGGGATTCTTTCACGGCTAAGTTCGTGAGTGTTATGAAGGCGGGTGAGGTTGAGAAGGTTGTGAGGGAGATGTCAGGGCTTGGCGATGTTACTTGTACTTTGGGATGATTGACATGGGAGGATGGCGCATACGAGGGGTTGGTATGGATGGCGAACGAGGCGTTTGGAACGTGGGCTGCGCTTCTGCCTGCATGATTGGGAACGATGTTTCGTCAGGATATGCTATCACTGTCCGCAGCCCTATCGAATGCTCACGAGCTCTTCTTTCATATACTGGTTTGGGTTCGTGACTTGGTGACATGGCTGCGTGAATACCAACTTTTGAAACGAGGAAACACATCAGATCTTCGAACTGGCTTTTTTGACATTGAGCACTAGAAAAGGCATCGGCGAATCTCTCAGAGACATGCGTTGTGTTGAAGATTACTTTGGTATAATCGCCTTAGAACTCCGTACTCCATGATCAGAATGTGTCAGAAGAGATCGAAGCGGCAGATATTTATACAGCATAGGAGGTTAAGCGCACGTCTCACATGATGGCGAAACATGCCCCTTCTGGATGTCGCGCAGGCATGAATGCTTTCTGATGGGTTTTGAAGTGCTCGAGGAAACGACGCACCCGAACATGCGATAGGCCCGCTGTGTTTTGTAAAGCGTATGGGTTTCGTAGATTGGAGGTATGGAGAGGCAAGGAAAGTCTCGCGTCTTGAAGTTTATATAGTGCAGGTGGTATCATGCGCTAATCAGTATACAATTTTGGAATCATCCGAAAGTTCATTCCACATGTAAAGGTAGGGTAGTTGTTTCTTGACCGCTGAGAAGTCATATGTAAGAGCTCTGTCTTTTTCGAAAAGTGTAGTGCAAGCCACAAGTGGCGGAAAGACATGGGCGCCTGGCTTTGTGTTTTGAAGAACAGCGAAAGCGCAATTTTGATGGAAGAAGATAGAGGAGAGAAAGGGTAGCGTTTTATATCGAACGTCAGCCTACGAACGCTAGAAGGTACCACGGCAAGTCGAACGAGCATACCGCCATGCAGTGTCGTCGTATACGTTTTGATGTACCGAGTGCACACTCATGTCGACATTCGCTCGATTTTTCGATATCCAAAGTATATAGAAAGCTTTAGCAGGCAGAAAGCCGCCACATGGCGGTTCGTACTCTATCTTTAGGAAACATTAATGATTTGCTGGTGTGTTGAGAGAGATGGTAATTAGAAAACAGAAGTCTTTATAGCCGCCAGGCACCAGTCTTCCAGAAACATTGTTCGATATTCAATTCCTTTTTGTAGAGATGTAGCTGACATGTCAGATCTTGCAAGCGGAACTCGAGAAGATGAAGAGACATGAAGACATGGCCAGTTTGAGTGTGGCTTTCGGTAGCATGAACGGCGAAGGGAGGCGCACCACTCGTCATCCTGGTCATCTATGATGTTTTTGGTATGCAGGATAGCTCAAAGTGAAGTTAGTAGATAGGACACTAAGCGGCAGAAGATCTGCTTTTATACCAGCACCAACGCCCGGACTTTCCGCACCCTCGTTTGCCGGCATATACGGGTGACGTCAGATACCTCGTCTTCGCGTCACGCCTTGCGCATCTTTTGCATCGCAGATGCATCAACACAACGCGTTCTTTCTTCGCGCATCGCGTTCTTCCATCCTTTCGAGCGACGGAAGATCTGGACTGTTCGGTAATTACTGCCCCGATAACCGAGTGCGGGTTAACCCTGGACGATGCGGGGACTCCGCGTCGGCGTCATTCCTTGAAGCTATTTCCGCAACTTCTAACGTGTTTGAACTGCGGAGATGAGGCTAGCCTGCTGATGGCGTTGCTAAACCCCTTGCGACAGATTGGAGAAATGATATCTTCCGGTGGCGTTGGGGAGATGTCGGTATAAGTACTGAGCGCTTGGCGCAGCACTCACAATTGCCTGGAGTAGACACCGGTCAGTATCTTAGACACACTAGATCAGCTGCTTGGTGATTTTGGGAATCTCGTTCGAGTATGAAGTTCCAAACATCGTTACCATATCTTCTGGGTTTCAGCACCGCGGCCTCGGCGCTACCCCAAAGCCTCTCCGAAAGACATGCAGCCGCAGCTACAAGAGCAACTGTACCAACAATCTGGATTGCAGGCGACTCAACAACCGCGCCAGACGGCGGTCACAACGGTACGGAAGGCTGGGGACAATATCTCCAGTACTCATTCGGCACCAACGCGAAAGTGAACAACTCCGCTTATGCCGGACGATCCGCGCGCTCCGTGCGTACCCCCTTCCTCTACTCCCACAGCTCAAATCGAAGGGAGAAGACGGGCTAATGCCTAACTACTACAGTTCACACGCGAAGGCCGCTTCGACAGAATAGCCAAAGCCCTCCAACCCGGCGATTGGGTCATCATCGAGTTCGGCATCAATGACGCCGGCACGCTTCAAAATGGCTCTACGAGCTCAACAGGAGACAAAGGTCGGCCGCCTTGCCCTGGTGTGGGCGATGAGACATGCGAAGTGACATTCAAGTACGCCATCCGACAGCCATACTCATCAACATTGACCAACATGTTCACCCGCGCAACAGCAACGCTACGGAAGTCGTCCACACATTCCCGTCCTACATCAAAACCGCCGCCTCCACTTTCCTCTCCCTCGGCGCATCCGGCGTAGTGATCTCATCGCAACTTCCGACTAACGTCTGGGAATCTGGAAGTTACAGCTTCACGCCCGGAAGATTCGCCTACTACAATATGTATGTAACACCCGACCGACCACATCAATATCAACTATCTGCGATTTTAAGAGGTAGCGAATGAGTCTAACTAACATTCGACACAGGCTATCGGCCATCGAACTAGGTGGCCCAGCATCACATGTGTATTTCGTGCAGCATGGAAGTTACGCAGCGCAAGCGCAAAAGCTGTTGGGAAAGGAGGTGGTGGATAAAGAGTATCCGATGGATCATACGCATACGGCGCCGTTTTTGGCGGATGTGGTACGTTTCTGTCTCCACCCGCCCATCGCGTTTTCTGTCTCCTTTTTCGAACATCTATCTCTTTCTTAGACTTTTTGTTTTGGATTTGAGGAAGTATTTGACTAACAAGAAGAACAGCACAGCCAGGCTTTTGTACTGGGGTTGAAGTGTGGCACCAGTCCGTTGGCGGGGCTAGTGGTCAATGCTACGGCGAGGATTGAGATGGAGAGGGGGAGTTGTTTGCCCGCTAATGCGACGTTGCCGATTTAGATGTCATTCATGGTCTTAAATGCGTGGTCGACTCAAGCGAGAGACATGTATGCTTCGAATCGATGATTTGGAAGGGATTCGGGAAGGCGAACGCGCAGCTCTCATGAGTTCATCGAAGCGGTGTTTTGGACTCGGCAGAACATGTAGACTGATGGGTAAAGTTTTGGTAATGCAGCACAAGATGATATGTCTCGGATAACCGAACGAGAGAAGCAGAAACGGGCATCAGGTCTTGCCTTCAGAGTTTTGGACTTCATCACTCACGTTCGTAGGTGTGTGATATAGGAGTGAGAGTAGGAAGGTAGTATAGTAGATCCAGGTGTTTTATAGGCAATGATAGAAACGGCGGCAAGCTTATTGAGAAGATTTGAGAAAGGCGAAGCGCAACTCTCATACGTTCTACACCTCTTGTTTCTTGAACTTCGCAGAACATTGGCAAGTCCTGCATTTGTTTTTGGTGAGTTGAAAAGATTGCTGCTGCGCATATGATGCTACACAGAAGAGGGAGAAAAACGAACATGGTGTTCTGGACTTGGTATTTGTAATTCATCTCCCACGTTTTGGAGTACGTGAATGCATGAAAAGAGAAAGAAAAACAGTTTCGCTGGCATTGTATACGGAACGCCATACGCCAAGATTTCGTTTCTGGGAAAATTGGAAACAGGCGAAGCGCAGAGCTCTCATAATCGAGGTCTTGAGGGTGTTTTGGAGTCTGCACAACATGGCTTGGACCTATGCCGACTTTGGCAGCATGGTAAGGTCGCCTCTGTGCAGAGTCGATGCAACAGGAGAGAAGAGCAGGAAAGGCCATGGGTCTCAAAGCTTGAGCTTTTGGAATCCACCTTCCACGTTTTGGAGTACGTGAATGTAGGAGGAAGGCCAAAATGGAAAGCTCCCTGGCCATTATATATGGAGACCCAGAGACCGGGTACTACTTCCAAGGGACTTTGAAAGCAGAGTATTCATGGCATGCTAGGAGTTTGGTCTCTGTTTGCCCGCACATTGGGGGACCGAAGGGTATTTTGGTGACGCGGCGAGATCACCGTTTTTGAGACTCCCGCGACAGAAGAGGAGAGCAAGTCACCCATGTGTACTGGTAGTGTGTCTTTTGAAGAAGCAGGACTCATAACCTGAAGCCTTGTAGTTTTTTAGAGTAGAGAAGAGGAACATAGTACTATGAAACGTAGCGGAGGACCAGGTACAGTTTCAGCAACACAAGAGGAGAGCAGAACGCCCATTTGCTCGTGTCGTGACGTTTTATAAACCATAGGAATTATGACTAGGAGTGCCGATGTTTTAGAGTACAAAGAAGGAACGTGATAACCATTTGTTGTGAGACATAGCGGCCGAATAAACAGGTATGATCTCGTTGACACGAGAGCAGAGCAGACCGCACATGGCCTTCGGTCTCTCGGCTTTAAAGAACCAGGAATCATGGTTGGGTGTAGGTCCTATTTTAGGGTAGAAGAGAGGAATGCGGTAATGGTTTAAGACACAAAGAAGAGAAGCAGCATGTTGAGAATGTGCGAGTATTTTCAAGTAAGACGAACGCACGACTGCCATCAGATGCGAGAGAGAAGTTTTCAATCTCAGACACACATGTGTCTGTCTCGGTGAATTTTCAGTTGTACATCTTTTGATGCGCATGTGGATGTATTGGGAAAGAAGGCAAAAAGCCAGACGCCAACATCAATACGTCGAGTTAAGCTTTCGAGAAAACCGACTGGTTGTTTTGGAGTGTTGGAGAATACGTGGAGAGGTGCAGCGTAGTAGATGTTTTATATAGAAGGCCAAGAGACCATATGGAGCTTCATGATGAGTTTAGAAAAGGCGAAAGCACAGCTCTCATCAACGTCCGATATATCGATTTTGGGC